CGTTAGGAAACAAAACTTCCAGAACACGGCCACATAGCCCAGAAGACCCACACCAGCCATCATATGCTGGCCATGAAAGCCTTCGACAATACACAATAATGTCTGTTTTGTCCTTGTTCAGTTTAAGATAGTGGGAGCACATCCAATCTGAAATCCTGCCTAAGTACAGTAGTTGGAAAGAAATGCCTACATTGTATTATTCAGAGTGGGAACAGATGAATACATCTGAAAAATGTCAACATATATGTGATGGTTGAATTTAGAATACAAAATCAGAGAGCTAGGAGTCTATAAAAAGAATAATAAGGAACCCAGTGACCCCAAAAGAATGCCTATTGATAATGAGAAAGATCAAGAAACAGAACAGTTCCATGAAACCAAGAATGTTTAATAAGATAGATAAGACTGAAACCACTGAAATGCTGTACCTGCAATGCCAAGGGAATTTAATTATGACAATTGTGATGTCTGGTGGTCCAAGGTATCAAAACTTGCAGATTGTTTGAGCAACACTAATACCAATAGTGGCTCACTTCAGTGACAGTAGCATGATTTCCCATGTCCTTTGAGGATGATCTTTAGTCTTGTGATAGGGAGTAGCTACTGTTCCATGGGCTACGTGTCACAGCCTAGAATAGAGACAGTGCTCAAAGCTAATGGAAAGAAGATGTCGAAATAAGTGTCTTTTACAAAGTGAGAAAATTGTTGATACACCTTCATTGTCTGGGAGAAGTGAATTTAAAAAGTAGATGAGTACTCTGGTAACAATATCCATTGCTTTAACAAAATGTCAGTCTTCTATGTCAAAATAGTATTTGAATGTTTTCCTTTTTAAAAAGTTCAAATTTTATAAAACAGACAGCACAAGACTTTGTAGAGTTTTAAAAAATATAAATATGCTTGCAAATGTAGTGTTTGTATGGAATGCTTTCAAAGCAAATACTCAAGGTCAGATAATTGCTTATTGAGTCCTGGAAAGAGGAATTTTACTGTTAGAACAGTTCTTACTACAGAGATGCCATCTGGATTATGCTCATTTGTCTCATAATAGCTATGCTGTTCCTGCATGAAATTCACATCTGGGAAGGCTCTCAAGTAATCTTGTAATCATATTCCAATTTGCACATAGGACATTAATCAAATCATACTTAAACTGCAGATACTGAAAAAAATCATAGTACGTTATTGCCTGTTATACTAACAGGTTTAGGACAGGAGATATTAAAAGCCCAAAGACTAGAAATAGAATGAGATATTCAGAAACATCCATTTGTAAGCATGAAGATTTTTACAAGTTTGTGAACATATTTCATCTGACTGACTTCCTAAAACAGATGCTATGTGTGAGTTTCTCCAACCTTGTTTTCACAAGTATTGTCAAATGTATCTTTTCTGAAAGTAATGTCTTGACACTTCCACATGGTAACAGAAGACTTCTCACAAGTTCATAGGCAGAAAGCTAAGATTATATCAAAATGACATCATGATGCAAATTCTGCTCTTATATTTTTGCATCCCAATGTCTGATTGTGGATTTTCTGTCATGATGCACATTATATCACTTGCCTCCCCACCCCAAGGTTAACTGTGAACAAGACTGAACCAGTCAGTTTATAAAGGATGTTGCAAACCATCAGTACATATATTAAAGAGGCCACAAAAAAATTGGGGGAAATTAAACAAGCACATTTTGATGTTTGATTACAGTTCTGTTCTGGCCAGTCAAGATACAAGCAAAGACTATTTGGAATGTACATACTGAGGAAAAAGCAAGCAAGGCAGGCATTTTCTCTGGTAAAGATGGCATTGTGCCCTAGCACCATGTGATTGGCATTAGACATTGCTTTCAAATGAGCATATCTCCTATTCAGCAGTTACAGCCCAATAAGCAGTCTCCTTCTTAAAAAATAAGGCTTTTATCTTTACAGGCAGCAGAGCAGCTGCCAAAGAAAGGTGATGCACTGGGATACAGAAGCTCTTTCAGGCTTTTTCATTTGAAGCATGGGAGACCTCAATCTTTTTTTGCCCTGCTCTTTCTGCCAATAATTGTCAATGGCTGTGCCCTGGAGATTAAACCCATGTGGCACAAAAATATCAAAGCTGAGATAAAAATTCTAAAGTTTGTTAAAAGAAAATGTTAATTAAAATTCTGGGGCAAAAATATGAGTGAATGATTCAAGCATAACTTTGAAGTTACATGAACTGCCTTGATTGCTTATTTTATTATAAAATAAAGAAATGAATCCATACATTTGTTCTAAAAATAAATGGATACAAGTCAATGGACTAGATATTCCAGAGATCTTTTCTGAAGTTAAATGAAAGGAAATACTAGATAAATATCAAAATCCTTTGAAAATATTCCCAACTTCCTGTAACATACACTGACATACTTATGTACCTACCCTTTTTCACACACTGCAGAACTAACAGATGGTGACTCCGATGTAATTTCATTTTCACAGACTAAACATGTGAAATGTCTTTACTATCTTATTTTGTCTCCTTATCTTCAGTCTTCTTTCTCTTCTTATTTTCCTTAGATTGCAAGTTCATCTGTCATTACCGATGCCGCGCTCTAATCCGACTTGATTGCAGGGGTCCCAGATATAAAAATGAGCAGAATGAAGGAAATGAGCAGACAATAGAAAAAGACACCAATGTGGTAAGAAACAGTGTTGAATAGTAATACAATAAGGGGGTTTTTTTGCATGGATATATTGGAATGGCAAAGAACATTCCAAAATAAGGCAAAAGATCCAAGAATCAATCCTTAATATTCTCTAGATAAAGGGTTTCATGTAGCAAGCAAGTTACTTCTAAGATCACCAAAAGTCAACACTAGACTGAATGGGTCAGTGGTCAACTTAATAAAGTTACTCTATATTGCACTATGTGCTTTCTACTATGCAAGTAACTAGAGCATAGACTCCAGCAACTCCTCACCATTGGTCATGGTGCCTGGAGCTGCTGGGAACACTAGTTTTGCAACATCACAGATTGCTACTGGTTTATAAGTACTTATAAACATTCCTAGTAACAAGCTTAGTAATACCACTCCAGCAAGAGAGAGAGAAAGAGAAGGGGGGCTATTATTTACATGGCCCATTACTATAAATAATCTAATGTTCCTCTATCTGGATGAATTTTCCTAAAACAGAGGGGAAAGCTTTATTTTACTCACAACATACACAATAATAATCCTGTATTTTCAGTACAATCTGAGGCTTGGCAAAAGGCGGAAGAGATCATAAATGTGTCAGTATGGGTTTGGAAGATCCAATTTCATCCAGTGATGGCAGTACAGCTGGAGCTTGATGCTCCCAAAATGACCCCAGGGACAGGGACTCGCAAAAGAACAAGCACCTAGACAGGCAAGACCCCATCAGACCAGCTGCGAAGCCTCACTGCAATGAACACTTTGTCATGTTTCGGAGCTACAGAACCGTATCACTTAGCAACATCATTCATACAGTATTCCTAGAAGAGAATAGATTATTTAGCACCCATTACAGAAATATCTTAAAAGCCCAGCTGGCTTGGTATCTCTTTCAGTTTCAGACAAGGGAAGCAGCACTGCTTTACTCAGACTTAATTGCTTGGGAAACACTGCCATTTCAGAAGGCAGGTTTGGAATTGCTTTTTAAAATTCTCCTTCTGTACAGGAACATTGTCATAGCAGGTAAGAGGTTGGTTAGATTTTTGTCCCTTATGTACTACTTTGGTCCTACTATACAGTTCTTACATAAGGAGCATTCAAATGTACTATCAATGCCTGCAGTCTGAAATGATGATCCCTCTTCTCTCTTGCCATAAAACTGAGACTACTTAGTTCTGTGGTGTGTAGTCCAACCAGCTCTTCTGATCTTGGCCCTTATTTATTATCATAGCGGTTAAGGTGCTGGCCTAAAAACCCAGAGACTCTGAGTTCCAGGCCTCCCTTAGGCATAAAAAACAGCTGGGTGACTTTGGGCCAGTCTCTCTCTCTCTCAGCCCAACCCACCTCACAGGGCTGTTGTTGGAAAAAATAGGAGGCAGGAGTATTAGATATGTTTGTCACCTTGAGATAGATAGATAGATAGATAGATAGATAGATAGATAGATAGATAGATAGATAGATAGATAGATAAAAGGCAGGATAAGAATCTAATAATGAGTTTCCACTATGCAGTGTATCACAACATTCTACAGACTGCAAAATTGCTACGTTAGAAATGGGATTCCTTTCTAGTTTCTCTCTCAATCCTACAGTTGGTAGACAAAAAAAGTTGCCCTGCGGGCCTGATTCTTGTCCCTAGCAAGCAAAAAGGAAAATCAGTTCGCTTAAAGAAAATAAGCAAGTTTAGTGCCGCCGACCATGCGGGAGGGGGTTGGGAAAAAAAAGACTCGCTATTCCGGGAGGGCTGGAAAAGCGCGCTGAAGACAAAGCCAGTAAGCGTGACGCAACTCGCGCGCGGCTACTTGGACGATGAAATCACCGCGGCCGCCCGCACGAGG